CCACAAAAAAATACTAAAAAATTAATTATTGGTGGAATATGATTTCTCATATTAATATGGTTGCAGACTTGTAGCTGCGGCAATACGCAAAGAGGCACAAGAGAAGTAAAAACTGTACAATATTTGTGATTCGATTTGTTTTTGGTGGATATCTAATTTTTTGATTTGCTTTTCTTTGAAAAATTTTAGATATCCGGGATCACGGATATCCGGATTTTTTCTAGATATTTGCGGATATCTATTTTAAACAAAAAAATAATAAAACACCATAATATTTTTTTCAAACAAAAAAATTAATATAAAATTTAAACTAATTAATCAAAAAATATATGAAATGAGTCTAATTTTATTCGATAAATTGTTTAAAAAATAAAAAGTGAAAGATTAAAACGGTAAAAAATGAAATATATATATTTATTTAAGAAATATATTTCAAATAAGGTTAGTATCTATCTATTTTTACTATAAATATATTTAAAAGTAAAAAATGTAAATATACATTATAAATCTACCATATTATATGTATGTATAAGTAATATACGGATCGGATCGGATATTCGGATTTTTAAAATTAATATTTGTGATTTGTTTCGGTTTTGACGGATACTAAATTTTATTATTTGCTTCGATTTGATTCAAAACGGATATCCGAATTTTTCGGATCGGATCTAACCGATTTGGAATCGGATAGAATTTAACGAATAATTTGTCCAACCCTAAAAATTGGATATATTAGTAAGCATATAAAGTTGTTTTAAAAGTGATAAACTTAGGGTTATGGTTTCACCAATTTGCCTGTCCTTCGTGGATAAGTTTTTGGTAGATATTGTCGCACACAACGTGATAAATTACTCGCCTAGTTCAAAATGTTTTTCCATTATAAAAATTTCGATTCAAAAAGGCATCTTAGCAAAAATAAAAATAAAAAGAGTTCAAAAAAGCCCTTTCTTTATGCAACTCATGCATGAAACTAGAAAGTTAGAGCATGTTTATCAATGAACCTCAAAAAGTATCAATAACATTAATTTGAGACTTAATAAGATCTTGCTAATTTTTGTATGTTTATCAATGAACCCTAGCATGAAGTTTTCTCAACCATTTGAGACTATATACATATACACAATCAACTATTTGGTTGATTTGAGAAAATTACAAAACCATTTGTTAAAAGAATACTATAAACCATTTGAAGTGTGGCAAGGAATGAACGAGAGAGAAAGTTCACTAGTGAGAACAAGCTGAAGTCTCAGCAAATGGCACTGGAGGAATTGGAGGCAAAGGTGGAAGCTTAAACTGAGGAGGCGATGTAGCTGGAGGAGGAATGTTGACANGGACCGGAGGAGGAAGTATCACCGGAGCCTGAGGGGTTGGAAGCAAAGGTGGAAACTTAAACTGAGGTAGTGGGACTGGAGGAGGAGGCATAACAGGAGCTGGTGGTGGTTTAGGACAAGAAGACATGGGCTGAAGCGGCTGAACCAGAAGTGGATCCGCAACAAAAGTTTCAATCCCCCAAAAACTGAATAATAGTTTAAGTTTCTGGGGAGGACTAGAAGCAATGTTGCAACTAGTTGAGTCTTGTTGAGCTCCATTGTCTGAAACCTGAGCATAACAGTTGCTCAGATCCGGTGTACCATCAAGACGGGCTTTCATAACCCCGAGCATTGTAACAGTTGGAACCACATTCAAACGTGCATTTTGGCCAGCCATGTTTCAATACTACTACTGCAAACTATAAACAGTACAACGACAAGAGAAAGACTTATGCCATCAAAAAACACAGATCAACGAAAAAATGATGATTTTTCAGTGCTTCGAAACAATATTTGCATCAATGGCGATAGAGATCAGAAATAAACAAAATTGCAAACAGGCAAAGATCTTAAGCTAACCAAGCAAGCACCCATTCTTCATATCGAACGATCCATACAGAAAAGCACACAAATTTACCATTATTGTTTACCTGATTGAATCAAAGTCTACGACTTTCATTTTTGAATAACATTGTTTGCCAGATCCCCATAAGGAAGCAATCGGGATCAAAGATCGATTCGGACTCGAAGTTGATCAGTCGGGTTTATGGAAACATAAAAAATTATCTAAATTTTCTAGATTCATTGAGAAATTAAACCAGAGAGGATTGAGAGGAAAAAGTAAGATTTGAGATGACAAACTTTGGCTCGTTCTCCATTTCTTCACCGACTCTCTCTAGAGATTCAGAAAGGAAGAAGGCGAGGAAGAGAGAATGAAGAAGCTGAGTCGAGAAGGATACAGAGAAGGAAGGAGAGGCGATCGCTGATAACGATTGCCAATCAAGATTTTTTCTCGTCGCCTCACAGTCGCAGAGAGAAGAAGAAGAAAACGAAATTTTTTTTTTAATTTTTGGATCTCATCGAAACCTTACAAGCCGAAACGTGTCCAGAAGAACCGGGCTCTATGGTATCAGCCCACAGAGACGTCTCAACCCGTTTTTAAACCAAAAATAATATTTTAATTGATTTTGGCCCATGAACCTCTTCAAACCTCACCGATAAACATGGTCTTAGGGTCCGTCTCGATCTTGAAGGATTTTGTGCGTGTATTTTTCTTATCTTTTGAAGAAATTAAAGTTCTAAGAAATTGGATAAAGAATACAAAACCAGCCATTAGATTTTGGTGTTTTTGTTTATAGGTTATTTGATTAGATTATATGTGCTCTCC